GAAATCCCATGTGTTACAGAGTAGAACTTCTCTGTAGGGTTTTTCTTTTTTGGCTGTATCTTAATGGGGGCAGCCAGGCCTTTTTCTTCATAGAACTGCTGAGTTGGGTTTGAACCACCGAAATGAAGTTAACAGTCGAGTGCAAACTGTGCTACATAAGGACCTTTAGTTAAGTTGCCATTGACTTGATTCAGATTTCATGGTGACCCCCTGTGCTGCAGAGTGAAACTGCTCCATAGGTTTTTTTTTTTTTTTTTTTTGGTGTGTGTGTGTGTATGTGTGTTTTAGGTGAATGTTTACACAGCAAATTGAGTTCCTCATTAATAACTTTCGTGTAAATTGTTCTGAGACATTGGTTATAATTTTCATAATGTGCAGGCGCTACTGTTATTTCCATTCTGCTTGGTCTGTTTCCGTTGATCTCACTTCCCTTCCCCTTTTTGCCTTCTCACCTTTGCTTTTGGGTCAGTGTTGACTGTTTGGTCTCTCATAGTTGTTTGTCTAAGGGAGCACATTACTCATGTGTGCTACTGTTTACTTTATAAGCCAATCATCTATTATTTGGCTGAAAGGTGATCTCCAGAAATAATTTCAACTCCACGTACAAAGACTGTCTTAGGGTGATAGTCTCAAGGGGTCTTCCATCTCTATTGGTGCAGTATGTTTGGCCTTTTTAGGAATTTGAGTGTGTTCTACATTGTTCTTTCATTCTAACTGGGACCTTCTATCATTCCCTTGGTCAGAATGGTCAGTAGGGGTAGCTGGATCCCATCTAGTTCTGGTTTCAGGTTAGAGGACGCTCTGGCTTGCGTGGACATCCCCCGTGAGGACTGCCTTTGATGTCTCTAACAGTTTTCGGTGTGTTGTATTTTCATTTTCATTTAATTCCAGTTTTTTTTTTTTTTTAATATGTACAATTTCTCTCTTGATTTCTTCCCTAATGCATTGGATATTTAATAATGTATGGTTTCATTTCTGCATAATTTTCTGTTTTCCTTCTGGTGTTAATTTCTAG